AAGAACCACATCCAAAACAGCTTCAAAATAAGCACCAATTTCAGAAAAGCTTATCGAAAGCAGGCTCCGTTGGTTCGGTCACTTAAAAAGAAGACGCAGCGAGTACGTTGGAAATATGGTCCCATCGTAGGCGACAAATGCCAGGAAAGGAAAGAAGGGGAAGACCAAAGAAAAGATGACGTATTGTCTTCAAAAACGACATGAAACTGCGAACAGTCACTGAACATCTAACGAACGACTGAAAAATGTGAAAGTCGACTCGATTAGCAAACTCTTGTTAACGGGAACATACTCGAAAAAAGAAGCTGTAATGAGCATAACACAGTGACTTTACAAACATTTGAACCACGCTAAAACAGGTCGGCATCTTGAAGATTTCCATGACGAACGGCATCTATAACATTAATGCAGATAAATATCAGCGTGCTATTTGTTGTCACGCAACTATTAGTCAAATGTTTCATTCCTGAGGAAAATATCTACAGCTAATTGGGCTACCCACAGCAAATAGTCCCCAAAAATAAAAACAAAATCATTTATCGACCTGTAAATGATGGAAGGCGAGTGATTCAGTCAGGATTGAAATTCAAAATCAATTCAAAATTTTTCGATTAAACTACTGCATTGACCTTTAAAGAACAAATGCAAAAATACAGTGACAGACTTGTCTGCGATGAGGAATACAATCTTAGTCTCAAAAGCAACTATTCTTAATACAAATAAGGCATTTTAAGGCAGAAATTTAGCCATTGAACCCACTTATGCCTTAGACGACGCCACCAGCAGTTGTTTGGCGACAAAAAATCATTCATTCATTTTTTTAAACTTCTATTAAATTTCAGTTAGAGGATAAAACTGCTATCTTCTTCTGAGGTTCTCCTTGCTGGCTTCCAGCCCTCGAAATGCTAATGCAGTAGAATAAGTTCAGTGATGTGGATCTGAAGATGCAGCCATGTCAGACCGTTCATAATCTAGCCATCTGATTCTCTGCATACATTTTGGTCATCTTCTATTAGACTGTGCGGCCATGGGAGTCTGTATTGTGAATGTCAGTACCTAGATCACGCAACTGCGATCTTAAACTCTACGGAAGGAGCGAATCACAACAAATTGTACCTCGCATTGTAGTGCGATGATCTAAAACTTGTCGAGACTTGTCATATCGACACGACCAGTTTCAAATATATGATATCTACATAATCTACCACTACATAACGTGCTCATCACCGGACATTGAAACCACTCATGATGAATTGCTTATGATATTTTGGGTTTGAGAGGAGTCCTGGAAATAACGTAAGAGAGGAAGTTTCGCGCAACAATGTAGTATGGGCTGGAATTACTATATAAGTAAAGTCACGCAATAATTTATAAGAAACTGATTACTGCTATGAAGAGGTAAAATATAATGAAATGCAAATACGCATAACGTAGGATAAGAATAAGTTAGAACGAGAAATAGATAAACAGTAAAAAGTAAAATAAAATAAAAACATTACGTCAGCTGAGAGCTTATCTAAAAACTTCTACTTTTCATAATCTGAGATATTAATCCATCCAATAAGCCGTCTGAATTGCCATGGTTTCAGAAACGGTGAAAAACCATTCAATCGTTAATAGGCAATCAAAACAATATTTACTTTTGAAAACTTCCGCAGGGACGCACTTCATGGCAACGACGGATCCGGAGTGCTTCTCGCGGGCACGGTAGACGGTTCCGAATGCGCCCTGACCGATTTTATCGCATGGCTTGAACACGAACTGTCCATGGTCAGTGGTTACCACTGAGGCGTCCTTGTCTTCGGTTTCACTGATCGCATGGAGACGTGCCATCACTGAAACGATATAATCCCTAAAGGTACGAAGTGGAATCCACGTGATCATCAATCGCATTGCTGCACTGAACATATGAACATATAACGG